AGTTAACGAACATCGGCCTCACACCCCTAAGTCTGAGGCCCCCCACACGATGCTGCGGCATGAGCAGGCAGCAGCGTGTGGGCACTTACAACACTTGGCTCTTCGATTTCTCTTCTTGGTTAACTTATATAGAACCCAATAAAAGCCATTTTCTTAAAAGAAATCGGTAGCTGCTTATAGAGTAGACTGGTCTCCTCAATTTAGCATGGACACAAAGCGGGCTACTTCCCCCACACTGCGCCCGCGCCTGGGCCAGGTGGGGCTGCCAGGGAGCCCTGCCCACGGCCTGGCAGAGCACATGCAAGGAAGAAGTTCCTGCCACTTCCGTCCTGGCGGGCCGCAGACACGGGGGGCTTCCGGGCTCACCAATTTGCAAGCCTGCCTCCCAGTGACCAAACGTCCCACGTGAGGCTAACCACGCCACAGCTGGCTGCTCCTCCCGTCCCAGAGTCCCCAGAGCTCCGAGTGACGCGCGTCCCCACCCACATTCAACAAGCCACTAGCCACTTCCGCTTACCTTGTTATATCTTCCGTTAGCTGGGCTGGGTCAGGGGGGTAAAACTTAACATTGAATGTGAAGTTCCAAGGGACACCTGTGAGAAGAAACACAGAACAGCCTAATGTTGATGTCTGAGCTGCTGGCTGCTGGAGGTGCCAGCTTTCTCCGAAGCACTGGAACACGGCCATGCTCTGCGGACAGACTTACAAAGATGAAGAGAGAGAGGCCAACTCCGAGGAGCTCGTCCATCTGATGCCTGACTGAATACGTTAGGCTTTCTGCTTGCTTGGTCATTTTAAAAACTGATCTAATTTTATTTATTATTATTCTTCTGAATTTGACCAGAGAGAGAAAGAGGGAGCGAGAGAGAGAGGGGAAGTGAGAAAGCAAGCCTCCAGGGCCAGGACTTGAACCATGATTGGCCATGTGGAAGTCCAGCGGCCTTAGCCACCACACCACCTGCAGGCCCCATGGTTGGTCATTCTTTACTGTGCCAGAGAGTGTGTGCATTTGCCAGAGAGGCAGAGGGGAAAGGCAGCCCTCAACTGGGTGTGGTCAGCTGCGAGCCTCCCTCCTCTCCTCCTCTGCTGGGTCGCTGGGCAAGTCATGGCACATTTCTGCATAGAAGACCAGACTCTCCTGGTGACCTACTATGGTGGGTGCACACATGCACCCAGCGTCCCTGCCAGCCTCCAGGGAGGGGTTTGAAGCATGCCGTCAGCCCTGTCCTCCGGATCCCTCAACCGCTGGCTTATTTTACTAAGGGTTAGAAGCACAGAGGCAGAGTAAGAGGGTGAGCCACCACCTCGTGGGTCAACGCGTTTGTAGCAATGCTTGTCAGCACGGGATCAGCACGCCATCTGGGCCCTGAGGCCTCGCAGGCTCCCGCAGTGTCCTCCGGCTTCAGCATTATCGATTTGTGATACCCGCAAATATCATCTCAAAAAGCCAAAGTACTCTTCTCATCAATAAGAGTGGGATTCGAAGATGATTTTTAAAATAAGAAGGAACAAGGCCAGCAGGTGGCATAGTGGTTAAGGCGCTGGACTTCCACATGGCAGACTGCAGTTCAAGTCCTGGACCTGGCAGCTTGAAACTCACACTGGACGCATGTGCATACACGTCCAAAATCCCGAGAAGAGAATGGAGAAGGGATTGCAGCGTGGCCATCACCCCTGGGGGGATTTGTTTTCTCTCTCTCTGGATCTCTCTCTCCAGTGAGTGCACGTGCCCTGTGGCAAAAATCTCTTAAAATAAATAATTTTTTTAAATAAGGAAGAAGAGGCAATAGAGGTATAGTAGAGATCAGATTAAAATAAAGTGACTTACATACCATTGCTATAAAGATCACATGAGGGTTTTAAAACTCCACCAGAAAGAGAAGGGTAATAGGCAGTGGTATATTAAAACCCCTTCTCTGTCCCAGACCCAGTGGCTTGAAAACCAAAGTGGGTTGAGACCAGCAGGTGGCATGGTGGTTAAGAGTGCTGGACTCCCATCCCACATGGCTGAGCATGGTTCGAGTCTCGGACCTGGTGGCTTGTTTTCTCACTTTCTCTCTCCCTCTCTTTCATTCTGTCCCTCTCTGGTCAAATTTAAATAAATAAAATTGTTTTTAAAAAAGACACCTTATCTGTCATTCCAGATCTCCAATGACCTTGAGTCACAAGACCTAATTAAATGAAAACATTAAAAAAAAAAAAAAAAACTGTATTCCATTTGGACTTTTTTCTCCATTTAACCTATAAAATGAGGAAGTTCAGGTAATTAGAAATAACTATAACTAAACAAAAATGTCCCAAATATTAACTTGCACTTTTGTTAACAGTAAATTTGTTGGTCGATTTTTGCTAGAGGGCACAGTGTTTGCCCGAGAGAGACAGACAGAGAGGGGAAGGGAGAAAGCAGCCCTCACAGGGGCCGGCCGCACTGCAGCTCCTTCTCCTCCAGTGCCCTCTCGGGGCTCCGTGCCGGCAGGACCAGGCAGAGCAGAGGCGGCACCACCGGTGGGCTCGGGGCAGCCCGAGTGCCGGCTGGCCTCTCCCGGGGATGGGCGAAGTGCGAGCGCTGAGGTACAGTAGGCAGAGGGAGGGCCGTGAGAGCAGATTGGGGGGAGGGCACATGTCCCTTGACTGAGTGACAGCGAGACCTCCTCTGGGCCGGAGACCGGTGCTGAGGTCGGAGGTGCCGAGTAATCATTTCTTCATGAGTCAGAATGGACAGTAAGTATTGCAGTGAAAGAAACTAGAAGCTATGTTTGCCTTGTTATGTCTCAAATATTCGGAATATTTTTTGCTCTGACTTGCACTTTAAAACACGGGTTTTTTTTTTTTGTTTGTTTTGTTTTTTTTCACCAGAGAAAAACAGAAAGCAGGAAATCACCCCCCGGGGAGACGGCCATGCCGCAGTCCCTTCTCCTCCGTTCTCCTCTCGGGATCTTGGGCACGCACACGCACACGCACACACACACACACACACACACATGCCTGGAGTGACTTTTCAGCTGCTCAATCCAGGATTCGAACCACGGCTGACTACGGGGGAGTCCAGTGACGTAACTGTCAGGTCATCTGTTGATCCCAAGCTTTTCCTTTTGATTGTCAGAGCACATGTGCGCTCACCAGTGAGAAACAGGACACAAGCCCTTCCCTTCCCCTTCTCTATCCTGCCGGGGCTTGGGCAGGCATGTACACACATCTGGTGTGTCTTAAGCCACCCGGGCAGGGGTTCACACCAAGCTCAGCCACGTGGGAGCTGGCGTCCTTAGCCACGAGGCTATGAGGGCAGTCCCTAAATGAGAGCGAGAGTGACAGTGGAAGGCAGAGGGACAGAGGGGAAGACATAGGAGGTGGGAAAAGAGAGGGGGGAAGAGGGACAGAGGGAGGTATCTTTGACAGGGTCCCCCGACATCTCAACCCTAAACGCTGTTTAGGAAGCCAGGCTCCCCAGCCCAGCCATGCCACCAAGCCTGCACTCGCTCCACTGTGGCGAGGTGAGGTCCGGAGGGGCCCTTCTTCTCTAGTTTGGGAAAGACGATGCAGTGTGAGACAAGGTCTGAGGAGAACAAGGCGCTGCAAGTGCTTTCTCCTAAGGGACCAACAAAAAGCGAAGTCTGTTTCCAGGTGACAGAGCTAAAGCTCACTAGCCACGATGGGAACACTGCTGAGGGGTCAGCAGGCGCGTAACGGCTACGCCACTGGACCCCCACGTAGCCGCCCCGGCTCAAGAACTGGACCTGGTGGCTTGACACACACTGGGTGCGTGCGTGCCCAAGATCCCGAGGGGAGAGCGGAGGAGAAGGGACTGCGGCGTGGCCACCCCCCGGGTGATTTCCTGCTCTCTGTCTCTGTCCCTCTGGGACACACGTGTCCTATCTCTATAGCAAACCCTCTAAAAAGAGAGATACTACCGCGCTTCCTGGAAGTCTCTGCAAAATAGAGTAAAGGAACGGGGATTCCAAACGAGGGAGAAAGCCTGCCCCAGCCACGGGGTGTGGGGCGGCAAAATGCCCCTCGGCCCTCTCCCCTGGAGCAGCCTCCCTCCCAGGACCCAGTCTGTGCCGAGGACCAGCGGCAGCCCTGGGCCACGCGAGCACCCTGCTCTTCTGCCCCTCCCGCCTATGAGCGCCAGTGCTTCCCACGGACAGAGGGCGGAGGGCGGCCGGGAGGGGCCGAAGGAGCTGCAGAGGGCAACTCGGAGCGAGGCTGGACGCCCGGGGCCAGGCAGCGGGAGCTGGGCAGACAGTAAGCGGGCTCCACGGCGTGGTACTGGCTCTGGGTCACCACATTTCGGGTGCGACTGGCACCTGCCTGTCCTCTGGGCACCTCTGCACTTTCCCACCTGCTCCTCTCAGCTGTCCCTCTCCCCAGCTGCGCCTTGCTGTCACTAACCTCACTCTGCCCTGCATCTCGGTGTGCACCCCTGCTGCACCCTCTGTGACAGGGCCTCCTCCCCAGGGAGGGCTGCATCTCCGTTTCATGACCAGCTGTGACAGCTCACGGCCTCGGCCGGAACCCTCTGACCCACTAAGAGAACAATGAACCACAGAAAGGATGGCATCCACTTACCACGGACCTGCTTTCTGATCTCTTTGGCCGAATCCAGCCATGTCTGCAAAGAGAAGAAAAGGCGTTGACACAGCGCTCCGAAAAACACGCCGCGCGGAGGGCAGGACGCAGCGGCGCCAGACCACGGTGCCTCCAGGTCACCTCCCCTCCTCCGGCAGTGATGGGCAGAGCCAGCCAGCCAGCCGGGGCCAAGTCCTAGCACACACGCCCTGGTGGGCTACGTCCTCTCAGCACCCCTAAAAGTGAGGGTCAGGCGGCAGTGCCCCCTCGTGGCTACCGGGAACAATCACGGGGCTGCCCAGGAGCCGCATCCCTCCTGCCGTCCAGGAGAGCTCTGCACAGGACCGACAGCATCTGGCCATCCTGCCGCCGACAGCGCTCAATGAATGGGCGTCTGTGAGCCCTGCATGCTGCCCCTGCCGAGCTCTCCCGCCAGGGCTCTGGCCCTGAGCTCCTCCTGGCCCACACACGGTGGACGGTGCCAATGACAGCCCGGGAGAGCCCTGCCGTTGCAGCTGTCGCTCGCCCCTTCAGGAATGGCATAAAGACAGCCACTTCCACCTCTGGAGAACTGTTTATAACATCTCGTCAAATGGAAGACACTCATGGAGCAGCAGGACACGAGCTGTCGAGTCCTGCTCAGGACTATGACCCTCCCCTCCCCGGGAGCCCCTCACCTGCACCCTCCTCCTGCCCCCACCCCCGTGGCCTCAGAAAAGTAAGGCGGGAGTACCTTACAGCTCTTTTCTAAATACCACTAAAAGTCAGATAAACCTCTTCTAAAGAGCTTTTATTATTTTATTTAAACTTGCCAGAGAGAAATAGAAAGAGAGAGGGATGAAGCACCCCCAGCTGGGCATGGTCATGACACAGCCCCTTCCCTAGCCCCTCCGGGTCCGGGTTGGGGCACACATGCACACACGCCTTGCACAGGGCCAGGGCCTGAACTGTGTGGTTCACCACGTGGGATCACCTCCCTTCACACCAGGCCAGGGCCAGTCCCAGAACTCTTAATGAAGATCACGTCCTGCCCCTTTGGAACGGAAACTTCCACCAGGGTCAAGCAACTTCGTTTCCATCATTTCAAGAGACCTTCCCAAAGTGACCGTAAGCTCCCAGGTTCGAGGCACCAGGGTGACACAGAGGCTGCTCCCGGGTCTATGGCAATCAAAGAGGCGCCCAGGGTGAAGCTGCCTTGCACAGCTCGACCCCGGCCAAACCCAAAAGAAGAACTTCCGGAGATAACAAATCAGATGGGCACAAGGGTAAGCACTGTCTCCCAGGTTCAGCAAGTCAACTCCCAGCCTCTGATTTAGCACCAAACTTCCGAGGAGGGCTTCCGAGTGCTAGGCCCTGTGGCTACAAAAAAAGATTTAAAAACAGCACATACCTTCAAGAGGCTGTCATTTAAAAAAAAAAAAAAAGAAAAAAGAATGATTTATTTTCCCCCAAATATACCATGCAGGGCACACGTGCTCAGAGAGAGAGAGAGGGGAAGCTGAGAAAGCGAGCTGCCAGTCCAGGACGCGAGCCGTGGTCAGCCGTGTGGAGTCCAGCCCCAGCACACCACCTGCTGGCCCAAGAGGAGTGAAGAGCGTGTGGAGAGCAGGTCCCGGCTGGCTGCAGTGACGGAGCGGGCAGCGACGCTGTGACAGTCGGAGGAACGCACTGACCATGCCTCGTCCCTCGTGGGGGGCCCACACCGAGTCTTCGGCACCAAACGAGAGTCAGCCAGCCAGAGCAGAGAGGAGCGAAGGCCACCTGCAGCTAGCCACGAGGTCACAGGGTAGGACAGACGCCCACCACACAGAAGGGCCAGGTCAGGAGGCGGGTGCTGCACCTCGAAACTGGCCTTTACCAAGTTCTGGGCAAGTGGGAGCCCTGGAAGAATTTCAAACAGCGTGACACAAATTAAAGGAAGCAGGGCCATAGAGAGTCCAAGTGAGACTGGAGAGTGACCGCCACGTTCCAGCGAGGGGCAGGGAGGCCACAGGCTTTGAAGAGAGCCCGGCCCGGCGCTGCTCGTTCGTGGGGCAGCCTCACACAGGCGTCTTCCTTAGCCTCGCTTTTCTCATGTGAGTGGGGACACTCCCCTCCTCCCTGCACTAGTGTGGACGGACTGACTGCAAACAGGGCCAGGGCCGGCAGGTGGCTACGGGCACGGGGCTCCCACGGAGGCTTGAGGAACAAGTGGGCCGTGTGCCTGCGTGTGCCTGCGTGTGTCCGAAATCCCGAAAGGAGGGAGAAACAGTGGGGGACAGCATGGTTGCCCCTACGAGGCTCCCCTTCTCACTCTCCTGTCTCTCTGGCAAGCACACATGCTCTCTAGCACATTAAACGACAACAAAACAGAAGAAGAAATATCAGAAAAAGAACAAATTTCATGAAAAAGAAAAAAACTAGAAACGACCCACATGCCCCCCCGGCGACAGAACGAACAAACCGTGCTACCCACACATTTATACGGGCAGGGACTAAAGGCATGTTCGGAGATCCGAGAGGGGTGCTTCATCAGGGAGCTGGGGTCGGGGCCAGGGCCGGAGACCGGGCTGCGTCTCCAGTGAGACAGTGACAAGACGTGACGGGAGACTGCAGAGTCACCGGAGGGGCTCAGCTCGGGCAGTCAGAAGCCCACCAGGCTGCAGAGCCGGCACCACGCTTCAACCGCAATCCGAGGCCCAGCCCGGCAGGAGGACTGAAGGGCGGGAGGGTACTGTTCTCCCTTGCACAAGCACACACTCTAGCATGAAACTGAAAAATACAAGTCACCCCGGGAGCACGTCGACAGTGGCCTGAAAGGACGTGAACAGGGCTGCCAGGACACGCGGGCTTAAGGGAGGGCTGCTGGGAGAGCAGGACGCGGGTGCCAGGACCCGAAGGGGCGGGAGGCCTCAGGCTGGGGTGACCGAGGCCATCACAGCCACAGAGCACATAAGCAGTGAGAAGACGGGGTGTGCGAGTGCACGGGCGGGTGTGGGAGTGTGTGGGCAGGTGTGCGAGTGCACAGGCAGGTGTGGGAGTGTGTGGGCAGGTGTGCGAGTGTATGGGCAGGTGTGGGAGTGTGCAGGCAGGCATGTGAGTGGACAGGCAGGTGTGCGAGTGCACGGGCAGGTGTGAGTGCGGACAGGTGTGCGAGTGCACGGGCAGGTGTGGGAGTGTGCGGGTAGGTGTGTGAGTGCACGGGCGTATGTGCAAGTGAGCGAGCAGGCAGGAGTGTGGCCAACCGGGGTGCTGCGGGGGACAGAAACAGCAAAACCATGGGGAACTGCTCAGGTCGCAGGGCTGACACTGCCCACCCAACACTGGCAACGCCACTCGGAGGGAGACGCCCGACAGCAGCACGTGTCACATGTGAGAATGTCCCCGCAGGATTCCAGAAAGCCCAGACAGCACACGGCCAAATGCCATTGGCAGCGAGGGGACAGAGAGGACGCAGACAGGCGTTCACTCCACAGTGACAACGGGGGCTGTGTTCTTGCAAAAGCACAGACAAATCTCCAGGAGACGGCGAACAAGAGGAAAGCTGCGAAACTCCCGTGCAGTTTAAACGCCGGTGAGATGCCGGCGACAGATGTCAAGAAACTGCTTTTGACAGGAAATGGGAGATGAAGTGACAGACATGGGCTGGGGACAGCAAGCAGAGGGGAACCAGGGGAGAGCCCGGAGTCCATACGATGTTTTGTTTTCATCCCCAGATGCGACGGCGGTGTGTGGCGCTAAACAGAAGTCACCGGGCAACGTTTCTGACCGAGCACTTCACCAGGCCGCAGGGGCCGAAAATGACTGAGCCAAGAGAAGTCCCTCTTGCTAAAGGCCACAACAGCAGATCAAAGGTTTTTTCCTTTATTCATAACTGTGCACACACAGCACCTCCACAGGGTCTGTCAGGCTTCGGGCCCCTTCCCCGAGCCCCCAGTCCACTAGAGCACACGTGCCTGGGTGTTTTGGGGGACCCAGCCGGGGATCCCCACCTCAGGTGCCATGTCAGACTCAAGTTTCCGAGTAGCACGTGACCGCCATGCCACAGGGTGGCCCCCCAAACTGGACATTTGAGGAAGCAGGTGGATCCCCTAACAGAGCAGCTTTCCTTGCAACTAGGAGATCCCAGTCTGCCTCCGCCAGTTTACCGAGGAAGCCCCTCCACTCTGACGCTTACACAGAAGTAACCCGACGTGAGCCAGGTTTCTCTCTATTGTTCTGTGTCCCTGTTCCCACAGTATAAAAATGAAAATCTGTTCTATTTTGCTAGATTTGTGAGTTGCAAATAAAAGCCAATTTGATTCTTCACAAAATGTGTTGTAATTCTGTCTTTTCGAATGCCTGAAATGAAGTCAATACCCTGGCGAGATACGACGGGCTGTAAGTAACTGAGGGCTCTGGTCTTCAGCATACGCTACCTAAAACAGGACAGGGAGATCGTTCGACCGGAAGGTGCTCCCGACACAGCTCGAGAACAGACATATGTTGCTTTAAGCCGTGCATAGCCTGGATGGTTGGTAATTTCATTTTTAAATAATACTATCATAGCAATGATGACATCTGATTTTTATTTTGAGTGCTTACTCCAAGTTGGACACCACATGACACGCTGTTACACGGATTCAGAGCAAGCTTGTGACGCTATTCTCCCAAGTGCAGCGTCTCACTGTTTCAACAGACGTTTACTGAGGCCAGCCACCGTGCCGGAGGAGGACATTCTGCAGAAATCAGTCCAGACACAGCAGGCACAGGCCCACAGCAATGCCGGAGACCAGCCGCCATGGGAAGTGACTGAAACCTTAGAGCCCTAAGAACAAAAATAAAATTTAAAAATTCTACTACCATGACTCTGTAAAGGGTGAGGGAAAAGGGAAAAAGTCTACAGAAAGTCAAAAATCAGAATGGCTTGGGAACCAGCAGTTAGTGTAATGGCTATGTCACTGGATTCCCACGTAGTCAACCGCGGTTTGTGTCCCGGACCCGGTGGCTTAAAACTCACGCCGGGCGCGTGTGCGTGCGTGCCCAAGATCCCGAGAGGAGAATGGAGGAGAAGGGATTGCGGCGTGACCATCCCCCCTGGGGGGTGATTTCTCGCTTTCTGTCTCTATGTCTCTCTCTGTCTGTCTGGCGAGCGCACGCGCCCTACAGTGAAAATCTCTCCAAAAAAAAAAAAAAAAAAAAAGAAGGGTTCTGACTCACAGTTCTGAGGGCATCAGGGACTGGCAGAGGGCAGGGCTTTCAGCAAGTGACCCTGTGGCCTTCTCTCTCCCCTGGGGGGTGATTGCTCACTCTCTGTCTCTGTGTCTCCCTCTGTCCTTCTGGCAAGTGCACATGCCTTACAACAGAAATCTCTCATAAATATATATGTACCACAAAGAATACACAGGCAATGGGCTTCTACTTAATATATGAATTCTATGGGCCGGGTAAGTGGCTTTGTGGTTAAAGACACTGGAATCCCACATGGCCGACTGTGGTTCAAGTCCCAGAACTTGCAGCTTGCTTTCTTACCTTCTCTCTCTCTCTCTTTCTCTCACTCTGTCCCTCTCTGGTCAAATTAAAATAAATAAATAAAGTTAAATAAAAATAATTCTTTTAAAAAATATATGAATTCTAGGGACCAGCAGTTAGCGTAACGGCTATGTCGCTGAACTCCCATGTAGTTGATCACAATTCGAGTCCCAGACCCTCTGGCTTAAACTCACACCAGGTGCGTGTGCATGCGTGCCCAAGATCCTGAAGGGAGAATGGAGGAGAGGGGATTGCGGTGTGGCCATCCCCCCTCGGGAGTGATTTTTGCTTTCTGTCTCTATGTCTCCCTCTGTCTTTCTGACGAGCGCACGCGCTCTATAGCAAAAACCTCTCCAAAAAAAGAGAAAAATGAACTCTAGAAGGAAAAAGGCAGAGTAATCTGGTCTGGCGCCAGGTACACCGTGTCTGGTGGAAACGGTGAACACACCCGGCACCCGCAGAGCTGAAGCAGACATGGCAGCTGCGCAGGCTGCAAGCAGAGTCCTCACCTTGGAGGTCGCGCTCTCCCAAATGGCCAGACCAAAGTAGTCTTCTTCCAGGAGGTTGAGGTGCTCGCACACTCGTTTAAGCAGATCTTGTCCCTTGGCGTGTTTCTGCAAAAAATGCACATATTTAAATGAGGCTTCTCACTCGGACGGTTGTCCCCGCGCGGGACACACCACTTCCAGCGCCCTCGTCTGCCTCTGGTTACTAACAGGCCTTGAGATGGCTGCTGCACAGCCCAAGCAGGACATGGTTCCAACCCCTGTTCCTCCAGCTGTCAGCGTGCACAGCACGGAGCAGTCTGCCGTCCCGCACCCGTCTCCCACGCCTTCCTAAACACTCGTTCTTCACTTTCCGCGCAGTGCCTCCTGAGGCGAGCCATGGCTGCCGTCGGTCACCACGACACTGGAGCCAGCCACCAACACGGACAGTCCATCACAGCTGTGGACGTCACTTGGCTGCCGTGTTCCCAGCCAAAGTTCCAGGAGGGAGATCGGCACCAACTCCTACGAGCTCTTTCAGAAAAGTGAAGTAAAATTCCAGAAGGCCTATACGCAATGCCTGTGGGAATGTCTCGCTCAGTGACGCATGAGCCATTTTCTTATAATTTCTCTACCTAGAAATGAAACCACTCCCGCACCTGAACACCTGTGCATTCCTGTTTAGACGAAGTGCCCTAACTTCAAGGGTGAGATTTAGAGTAAAACACCCCGGCCCTTCCGTTCACTAGCTAAACACGGGGTGGACCCGGTTACTCTTCCTGAACGTCCGCGTTCTCACCTGTAAATGGTGACTATTTGCAGCTATCCTATCTATTGAATTATTGGGGGAAATAAAATCAAACGCACTAATGCCATCTAAGAAATTCATACAAAAACACTTTGTAAAACTGGGGGTCTGTTTCTGGCACACGTCCACGACAGCCTCAGTGAGCGGGGCGGTTTGAGGGTGACTCACGTGAGCGCCCACTCCTCTTTTGCCGTAACCCACTCGGACCGCATCCCTCTCTCCAAGCACTTCCCCCGATTGTTTCCCTCTAACTAACAAAAGGTCATTTGGAATTCATCGCGTACAGGTCTCTAGCCCTCTTCCTGTGGTTCCCAAACCTAGTTCTGAAAACAAAGTGTCTGTGGCCTCGGGTTGCTACCGCTGCAGTAGCTCATCTGAGGGCAGACGACCCAGAGCCGGCCTAACCGCCACGCATGCGCCGCAGCGTCCGCCCCGGCGTCTTCCACCCTGGAAACCGACATGCTTGCCACCTCCCTCCACCCCCAAGTACTCAGCTCTGAAACAGCGGCACCGAGGTCTCAGGCGTACGGACCTACCTTCCGGAGCTTGATCTAAAGGGCAAGGTCAGAGGTGGAAAAGCCTTTCCTGCGTCAAAGCTGGCTAGTGGCCAAGAGGGAGAAAAAGCAAACCCACATCTTCTCTAGTTACCACGTATGACTGCTTTTTCCTTTCTGTCTTTTTTTCCTCTACTTTTTAATGCCAGTGGGTACCTGCGCTCACCAGAGAGACAGAGAGGAAGAGGGAGAGAGCGCCCCCTGTGGGGCATGGCATGCTGCCACCCCTTTCCATTGCTCCCCTGGTGGGATTCCGGGCGTGCTCGCACGCATGCCCAGTGTCTTTTTCAAGTCACCAGGGCTAGCATCCAAACCAGGGTCAGCCACATGGGATTCAGCTCCCTAACCACTAGGCTATGGAGCTAGCCCTTTGTCCTTTTTCTTAATTTACTGATTTACTGAGAGAGAGAGAGAGACAGCACCCCCAGCTGGGTCCCGATCTGATTCACAGCAGCTCCGGCCTGCCTGGACCCCACGCACATGCGTGCCCAGTGTACTCAGGGAGGCCACAGATGTAGTCGGGCACCTTCTCCGGCAGGTCCGATGACAGTGCCGTCTCCACCCCTGCCCACCAGCCTGCCCCCGGGAGGGAGGAGCTATTTTCAAAGTGTGACAATATATTCTTCATGACTACCTTTTCAAAACTTAAGAGAGGATATCTTTTAATAACTACAGAATAGGGACCAGCGGGTGGCATGGTGGTTAAGGCTCTGGACACTCCCACATGGCTGACCATGGTTTAAGTCTTGGACCTGGTGGCTTGCTCTCTCTCTCTCTCTCTCTCTCTGAGTCTCTCTCTCTGGTCAGATTAAAATATATGAATAAATAAAATAAAATAATTCTCTTTTTTTTTAGAAAGAATTGGTATTTTTAAAATTGTTTTATTCATTTTTTTTCACATAAGTCTTGCCAGAGAAAGATAGAGACAGAGAGAAAGAGAGAAATAGAGCAAGCTGCCAGGTTTGGGACTCAAATCGTGGGAATTTCAGACTATTTATTTTTGTATAGCTATATCTGCATTTGCACACGGACAATTTTATTCAGAAATAATTTGCTATGCACTTAAGATACAAGTAAATGTGATTTAATGTTTTATCAATAAAAGCTACTCTTAGCAACAATTACAACACGTGTTCATATCAAGCTCATGACAACTGACTATTACTACTCCAGTTCAGAACAGTAGTTACTAGGGCTGGCCCTGTGGCCTGGTTTTTAAGGGAGCTAGATCCCACGTGACCAATCACAGTTCGAATCCCAATGGACAATACACCCTATGTGTGTGTATTTGTGCCCAAAATCTTGACCGGAAAGAGAAATGGAAGAAGAGGGGTTAGGGTGACCATGCCCCATGGGGGGGGCTTCTTTCCCTCTCCCTCCCTCCTTCTCTCTGGCAAGCATACATGCCCTCTACCAATGGAAGAAGTAAGATAAGGATAAATTTAGGGACCAGCAGATGGCGTAATGGCAAGGTGGCTGGACTCCCATGCGGTCGGCCATGGTTTGAGTCCCAGATCCAATGCTTAAACCCACACCTGGGGCCCGTGTGAGCATGGCCAAAATCCCAAGGCAGAATGGAAGACAAGGGCATATGGTGTGGCACCCCGGGGGGCTGATTTCTCACTTTTTGTCTGTCTTTCCAGGGAGCGCATGCCCTATAGCAAAAAAAAACAAACAAAAACCCTCTCTAAAAACAAATTAATAAATAAATAAAAACTTTAAGAAACAGATTTTATTTTAACTGGCCCAAAAGGAACAAAAAAGAGTAACAATACAACTGACATTTTAAATTTAATCTTGATGCGATTACTTATTCTTTTAGAAAATAAGAGAACTTGAAGAAATACCGTTACTTGATTTAAATGTGTACATATGCTATCTCAGGGGACTAACGAAATACAGCAAGTGAACAGACGTTCATAAAGATTTCGAGAAGGGAGAGCAGGAGCCGTGGTAACTCCATTTTCTTAATCTGCCAGAGGGTACCTGTATTTACCAGGAAAAGCACGAGGGGCAGAGGCAGAGAGAAAAGGCGGCCCCTAACGGCGCGGTCACACACGAGCCCTCTGCTCTGCCTCTCCTCCGTCGGGACCTCAGACACTCAGCAGGTTCTTCAAGCTGCGGGCCGGCGTTCCAGTCTCACTCTCACAGGTAGGCTTAGGGACGGCCGGACCTAACACTAGACACCAAGGCGACCCGGAAACCGCGTGTGTAAGCCACGTTCTCCAGACGGTGGCACACCCTAACTCACAGCACTTTGGCAGATACGGGAAACACCGCAGAAGAAAGCGGGGCTCACCCGGAACCCCAGCCCGTCCACAGAAAACACCATCAACATTTCAGTCCACAGGGACGGCCACGGGAGTGGGGTGGTCGAGAAACGACCCGAGCGCCGACTGCAGGGCCGGGCGGCGCGCACTCACCTCCGCCACACACTCGTACACCGTGTCGTCCAGCAGGGAGACCTTGCAATGCATGCTTCTGGGCCTTCGGGCGGGCTTCTGGGGCGCGCCTGCTTCCCCTGCCTTTGAGTCAGGACCCTCTTTGCCTCCTGTTTCGGACTCTTCACGTCCTCCCTCCTTCGTTTCCAAATCCGGATCTTCTCTGGGCTCTTCCTGGGCAGGCTGCAGGTCCACGGCATCAGCAGTCAGTGAGAGCATTCACAAACAAGCTGCATGCACGCCCCGGTCCGAGCCCCACCAGCCGAAGCCCTCTCTGACAAGAACGGTCAAAGCCAAGACTGGAGACACTAGTATGGAACACTTGCCCTCACAGACAACGCACACCCCGGACCTGCAGACGCTGCCGCTCACGGCTGCCTCCATCGGACCACGACCGGGGGTTCCAGGCCAGCCAGGGCTGTCGGTCTGTTGCCCTTGGCGCCCTCGGCGTCATGCCCTCTCCCCGCTGTGACTGCACTGTCACCTGACCTTGCTGAACGTTATCAAAACTCCTTCTTCTCTTTAAGATTTTTACCACAGGGTGCATGTGCTCAGCAGAGAGAGACAGAGGACGGCAAAGTGAGACATCCCCCAGGGAATGCCACACTGCAATCCTTCAAGACTTGAACTGCAGAGCCGGCCAGGTGGGACCCAGTGCCATAACCACCACGCCACCTCCTGGCCTAGAGTGCATCAAAGCTTTACCACACAATGGGACCAGCAGATGGGTAATGGTTGCATAATGGTTACATCGCCAGACTCCCACATGGCTGACGGGGCTCGAGTCCCAGAAACTCAGGCCGGCCACATGTGCGTGTGTGCCCAAAATCTCAAGAGGAGGACAGATGAGATGGGACTGCAGCATGGCCATCCCCTATAGCGAAAACCTTTCCAAAAAAAAATATATATATATTCTCTTGAAATTTTAACACTATTACATTCTTTTCCTTCATATATAGAAAAAAATATACCTGTATATAATTTATCTCAATTCAATAAAATCTTAATAAATAAGACTTCATTTTGGGGGAGTGGGGGGGAGAGGTTTTCGCTATAGGGCGCATGCACTCACCAGACAGACAGAGACAGAGAGACAGAAAGCGAGAAATCACCCCCCAGGGGGGATGGCCACGCCGCAATCCCTTCTCCATTCTCCTCTTGGGATCTAGGGCATGCACGCACACGCGCCTGGCATGAGTTTAAGCCACTGGGTCCAGAACTCGAACCACGGTCGACTACATGGGAGTCCAGCGACATAGCCATTACGCCAACTGCTGGTCCCGAGACCTCAATTAAAGTTAACTTTGTCCATCATCTGTTTCAACTTGTGTACAGTCAGTAAGTTCCGATTCGAATGCTCACACGTGAAGCAGGGGGTAAAATCAGCTAAGAGCCTCCTGGAAGCACCAGAGTTCCTGGAAGTGGGTCCAGCTGAACTCTGGGCATCCCTGGAAGGAAAGCAAAGCAGAGGCACTGAGCTCCGAGGGCTCCGCTGCCTTCACGGCCCACGTCTTTGCGCAGTGCATGGCAGCTGGCACTGACGAGCTTCTCGGACGCTGGCCACCGATGTCCTAGGAGCGCTACTGTTCTTCAGTCCTCGTGGTGACCGAGTGAGGACGGTATTGCAATTCCCTACTGCACAGAGGGGGCTAAAAAGATGAAGTGTGGCTTCCCTGTGATCTGAACCCTACAGTCCCACAGCCTGCACTCTGACGGTGCCCCATGGTGCATCTGGCCAACCTTGCTTCACTAGAGCCAAGTGCATAGTAACTACGTGGCCCTGACCTTACGCCTAGCACTTCGAATAAGCAGTATCTTTAGAAATGCATGTAATATTTTTAGAAAACCCTCATAAAACAATATAGCCCAAACCTCGGACCTCAACTAAAAACATAAAGACTTCTATTTTTAATAATGTAGATACTGGGGACCAGCAGGTGGCACAGAGGGTAGGGCACTGGACTCCCACATGGCTGACCATGGTTTGGGTCCCAGACCTGGTGGCTTGAAATCATGCTGAGAGCATGTGCACGCATGCCCAAAATCCCAGGAAGAGGAAGGAGGAGAAGGCGCTGTGGTGTGGCCATCCCCTCGGGGGCTGATTTCTTACTTCCCTTCCCACTCTCTCTGTCTCTCTGGAGAGCACACACACACCCTATGACAAAAACCTCTTAAAAAAAGAAAAATACAAAAAAAAATAATGCAGATAATGTTCACGTGCTTCAGGTTTAAGACTTTGAAACAACCTTTCATTTGTAGATGATAAAGCTTAAGAGAAATGAGATTCCCAGAAAATAATTTGAGTATAGTACAAAACAGCCCGTTTGGGGGACAAAGGAACAGATTCACAATTCGTGTTTAAAGTACTTACACCGGGACACAATGAGGGCCCAGCCTAGTCCACACTGCTCAGGTACAGGAGGGGCGGGGCCTATCACCTAGGTCTGGAGCTCCTGGAAACATGCCGGAGCTGAAAAAGGCCACTGGCAAGGCGGGCACAGTTCGAACCTGCCATAGCCCTCTGGAGGGCTTGACCCTTCACACAGCCTTCACGGGGCGTCCGCAGGACACCTGCTGAAACCACCGCACTCCCAGCAGTTCCACCAAAAGGAACGCTACACCAGCTTGCTTCTTTGTCCTCCTTCATTAAAAATCTCTTTTTTTAAATGTTATTTATCATCATTATTCTTCAACTTTGACCAGAGAGAGACAGAAAGGAGGGGAGGGTGAGAAAGCGAGCTGTTTGGTTTGGGACCTGAACCATGGTCAGCCATGTGGGAGTCCAGCACCACACCACCTGCGGCCCCGTAAAATAATCTCTAAGTTGTTTCATTACAACAGCAGAATTATTTCTGGGCTTCATAAGCTCATTTGGTATTTGCTCTTACTTACAGAGCATCTTTTTCAAACTCAAGTTCCCACTAACTACGTCGACTTCCCTCCTTTCCTTACAGACGGCACGAGTGAGTGCTCACAGCGAGACAGACAGAAAGGGGGAGGCGAAGCAGCCACGCCACAGTCCCTCTTCCCATTTCTCCATCCCGTCCGGGTCTGGGGCATGCACGTGGGCCCAGCGTGTCTTCCAAGCTGCCGAGGCCACGGCTCAAACCGTGCGGCTAGATGTGGGACCCGGCTCCCGTAACCACCAGGCCATGGGGCCGGCCCTGCACACCTCTCTCAAGAGCAGAAAGGAGCTTCAAGGTGCTCACGGTCGGAGCCCAGCTGGCCGGCCGGCAAGACACAGCCCAGCGTCTGCGAGGGAGAGGCAAGCCCACGGCCGGCCCTCCCAGGCCACTCCCACGCCCACGAACCTTACCTGCGTCTCCGCGCTGCTGAGCGAATGGAGATCCAGGGACGGGTCTGTTTTGAGCTCGGGTTCGGGAGCTGCAATTGGGGCCTTTAGGATGAGCTCCTCATCGAGACCGGGCCCTGAGCCGGTCTCCCTCTGGCCTCCTTCGCCCTTCTCTTTATCGGGCTCTGCCTCTCTGCCTTCTTCCTCCGACAGCTGCGACCTGGGCCTTCTGAGAAAAGAGGAGAAGAGCCGTGACAGGCCCCTGCCCTCTGACGTCCGCTCCTTGTTCCTGGTCAAGTCCCCATGGGTCGGGGTGTCCCCATGGGACGCTTTCAGCTTCTGCTCACAATGGCTCTCCCCCTCGGCCGCTGCGGGACAGGCCTCTTCCAGCTGAGCTTCCCGGCGGCCCGGGTCTGCAGCTCCGTCCACCTCTTCCTTCTGCTGCTGCTGCGGTGGATTTCCCGCCTCAGTTGCCGGGTTCTTCTCTGTGGTCATGATGTCGCTGTTACAAGGAATACGGGACAGGCTCAGAGGCAGACACCCCCACGCCTACAGCTGAAACACCCAGGTGCTGCGTCACCGAGAAACAGAGCCCCCGGCCATCATGCAGGCTTCCCACTAACCTGCGGAAGCGCGCGCCCGCCCCGTCACCAGTGCCACGGGCACAGGGACGACTTCAAAGCAGCACCCACGGGGCCGCCTCGAGAGTCAGATGTGGGGAGCTCAGACCCTTCCCAGCTTCACCCTCCCCGGACAAAGAGAAAGAGGACCTGATTCGCATCCTGTCCCCTCTGAGGTGGCAAGCCGAGGGTGCAGGGTTTGGAGGGATTATTCTTCATAAATTCTCTACACCCAAGAGGAAGTGAGGCCGAACAGCCCTTAGCTGTCCTGTGTCTCCGGAGCACGGGTCCTCTGCAGCCACCCACTGTCAGACCCGACAACGGCAGTGACAGGCACACGGCCAAGGAACGGCGCGGACTCTCCTGAGGTTTCAGGGGACAATACCAAACGACAACTTCGCTCAGAAATACCCATGTTCAGGTCTTCAGGACTTCTGCTGGGAAATGTGATTTTGAAAGCTCATCGACTTTCCCAAGACAGGGTCTCGTTGGGACCAGCAGTTAGCGTAATGGCTATGTTGCTGAACTCCGATGTAGCCAACCGCGGTTCGAGTCCCAGACCCGGTGGCTTAAACTCACGCCAGGCGTGTGAAGGGATTGTGGCATGGCCATCCCCCGAGGGGGGTGATTTCTCGCTTTCTGTCTCTCTGTCTCTCTCCGTCTTTCTGGTGATCGCACGTGCCCTATAGCAAAAACCTCTCAAAAAAAAAAGTAAAAAAAACAAAAGACAGGGTCTCACCCTGTCATGGTCCTGCCTCAGCATGGAGCAGCTGGGAGGACAGGCACAGGGTCACTGGGCTGGCCAGGCCAGCTGCTGCCACACCCAAGCCTGCACTCCTGCCGCAGCCTTCGGGCACGTGCCTGCTCCCAGGGGAGCCTGGGTGGCCCCCAGGCGCTCCGCCACCACGGCTGGGCCAAGCGCGGCACCTTCGGAGTGGGAAGTGAAACTCCCAAGAAAGGAAACGGCCGGAGCCAGAGGCGACGCAGACACGGAAATGCCGAGGCCAAGGGGGGTACGTGGCGGGGACCCCACAGACCTCCAGCTGGTCCCCAGCCTCACCTCCAGGCCCCAGTTTGCTCAGCCCCACCACGGAGCCGGAAAAGCCTGTCACGCGGAGACCCTAACAGCCAGCACGCAGGGCGACACTGACCACGCTGCCCTCGGCGCCGCTGGTGCTCACACCGCGGCATCCACAGCTGTCCCACTCCCGGCTGCTGAGGCCGAGTGAAGGCCTGACTCGGACTCTCCTAGCTGCCCTTCCCCGGGTCGTCCCACCGGCTCTCTCGGCTGCCCTGCTGGCTACTGGGAGGCCAGTCACAGCTCAGGGCCCGCCCTGACACCTCCCCTCGGCCCCTGCCCTGGGCTCCATCCGCCAGCAGCACCTGCTCCATACGCCACCGGCCCACGGGCCACTCCTGCCTGCTGCCCATGGCTAAGCTGAGGTTCCGTGAGGGCAGGGACGCCGCTGTCGCTAAAGTCACTATGTGCCCTGACGGGTACTGCTCGAGCGTGCTTACTGTGGCCCAGCCACGGTGGCACGGTGGCACGGGCAGAGGCTGCAGCTGAGCCACAGCACAGCCCACTGCTCAGGAGGGAGGCGCACGCTGGACCATGGGGAGGCCCGAGCGTGTCAGGCACACATGGATGCCCAGGACCCCTGCTGGGCAGAGGCACAGGCGTCATGGTGTGGCAAGACCTTGTGAATGACGGCTATCCTCCTCCCTGTGTCTCTCTCAAGAACGAACATTTTGAGGACCAGCAGTTAGCGTAATGGCTATGTCTCTGGACTCCCGTATAGCCGACCACGGTTCAAGTCCT